GTAGGAGTAGGAGAAGAAGAAGAATAGGCTGGAAGAGGAAGAGAGCGATTGTTGTTGTTGTTGTTTCGGTTTTGGCTGTTTCGACCGTGTGTTTTTTGTCTGCGGCCACGGCCAGCCTACAGACAGCGTGGTTCCCAGCGATATTTAGGGCACCTTTTCTAGCCCCCTCCCCCTCGCGGGGGCAGGCAACGCATCCCTGAACAGGGCTGCCCGGTTATCCCAGACGGCTGCCGGACTCCCCTATGGGCCACGACTTTTTGTTAGTGAGAGAACGACCCGAATTAGCCTGGGACCTTGGTGGTGAGGTGATGATGTGATGGAGTGAAGTAGGAGAGAGCATACACACTAACTAACGCTAGGGGACTTAGAACTAGAGTGGACAAGCAGGCACAGTCATCAGTCAGAGACAAAGTGAGGGCACCACACAAAGTCAAGCACCGTAACACCTAGCTATTAGTAGAGAGTGGCATAGACTGACGGACAGACAATCGCAGCAGGCATCGTGGGTGTCGTTTAGCTATTGACAGACAGACTAGCATATAAAGGGCAGGCAGCAAGCACAGCGTACGACGCGGAACTTCAACAAACAAAGGAAGAAACAAAGCAAGCGCGCTTACCTGAGGGGAAACTTACCTGGTGGCCGCTTACGATGGTCCAGGCAGAGCCTCGTCTCGACAATGTCGACGCGAAGATCCATCCGGCCAGCGCAGACCACAGTACCGCGCGTGCAGGTGCACGCACGGATACCCTCACCTGGTTTAGCCCGCCGGTCGAGACGGTTGCCCGGGGTGTGGCCGCTGAGCAGAGCCCAGCTACGTGGAGCCACAGGTGAGAGTTAGGTGCCAGCAAATGGACGCTAGGCGTAGTCTCACCTGCAAGCAGGTGAGCGACCACTACGACCATCACGTGGACCCACCGCTGACACCCCTACACCCCAGACACACACACACACACACACACACATCTTCCGTAAATTTTGCAATTTGAGGAAGGGCCCACTTCAATTAAACAATTTATTCGCAGTTGCGAGTGCGGGATTCTAGTCCGTGTGTCATTGTCTCGACATCCATATTCACGTGTGCACCAGAAAGTCTCACCATAAAGATGAAAAAGCTGCGCGTCAAGTGAGACTGCCTCAGTTCGCTTCAAGTACAGTAGGTGGGCTAACTCATGAAATGTCAACCGAAATTTCGAAATACGTTTTCGTTTCGAAAAGATTAATTAAGTAAAGTTGTTAAACTAGTCAGTCTGCAACATAATTCTATAAGATTTCAGTTACCTCAGGATGCCGGCTTTCGAATAAACTCCGTTCCGGTTGCATACAAAAACTATACTGTATAAAAGTGACTACTTAAGTGGCATAAATTTTTCTCATCGATTTTCGATGCCCCTAAATGTCCAATTATATTTCATGGAAAACATGGATTTAAAATTTTCCTTCCTTTGCTCATTCGGTAGAAAATTACGTCTTCTTCTAATTTTATACTCGAAGGAAGGATATAATTCGGTTTTCAAAAACTTTTCTAATTCCCGAATAATTTTGAACCCCGACCTGCCGTTACACTTGGATTCAGGGTTTCCAACCTACAAGCCGTATATTTTCTGCGTACGGAAAACCACACATTTCTCTACGGCAATAAAGGGGGACTATATAGGGTTCATAAAATTTGTCAGTGGATTTGATTAATATTGTTAAATTTACAAGCCACATTAGTAAATGCAGAGACATTAGGTTTATGAACGGCAATTTCACGGTATGTAAAAGTCCCACAATTAGAAACATTTTTTAAACCGAATTATACCCTTCTTTCGAATATACAGTTGAAAGAGGACGTAGTGTTCTGCCGAATGAGTGAAAGAATGAATATTTTTATATATGTTTTCCGTAAAATGTAGTTAATTTTTTAAGGGTATCGAAAAGCAATGAGAAAAATTCATGCTACTTAAGCAATCAATTCTTATAGAGCGTAGTTTTTGCCTGCAGCCGGAAGGAAATTCATTCGAAAGCCGGCATCCTGAGGTAACTTAAACGATCCCTTGTGTATGAAGACACGTTTCAAACTTTAGTGAAAATTCCTTGAGGTTTGGCCCCAGATCTAACTTGATGCAAACTGGTTTTGTTGGTACGAAGCCGCAAGCTCACCATAATCAGAGGAAGTCAAATTTCTACCATGGTACAAATATGCATAGTTGAACTGACGTAATGTGCAGTCCGAGCTGATATAATGAACTAGACAAGACGTGACATGAAGTTGTATCCGTGATGTTTCAAGCTGCAGACATTAGCCGATCGACAGACGAAATGAATAAAGAAGAGTTATAATTGAAGAAGAAGAAGAGTCGAGCACCGGAACACTTCGTTTATTATCCTGAGCTTTCAGACTCGTACAGGAGTCCATCGTCAGAGGTAGTGGTAGAAACAGGACAAGCGGCAGTTATAAGGCACGTAGGCCCAATCATCGACCGACGTCGCACGACTGGAGGTGACTACGAAGGGCTCTGTACGCCGGCGCAAGATCGATAAATCGATTGACCGAGTTCTCATCCGAGGCCCAGGCTTCAATCAATTCTCGGCCTGTTTTGTTTCCGGCGTGGGCGACTATTTTGGTTGCTGCGACGTCAAACTCGTGACCCATTTCGTAGGTGTGGACGGCCACTTGTGATAATGCGTCGCCTCGCCGCACAGCCAGCCTATGTTCGAGTATGCGCGATCCCAGCATGCGTCCAGTCTGTCCTGTGTAGTTACAAGGACAATTTTGACACGGAATGCGATACACTTCTCCAGATTGCTCTTCAGGTTTTAACCGGTCTTTGATTTTCATGACCCTGTTGCGCATGGTGGCTTTGGGGCGGTGTGAAATTCCAACACCTAGCTCCGCAGCAATGCGCTCGATCGCTTCTGAAACACCCTTGATGTATGGCAGAGAATGACATATCGTCGGTGGTGTTGATGTTCGAGTTCTCTGGTGGCGACCGCGTAGGCAGCGACTTATGAATGCCCTCGGATAGCCATTTTGCACAAACTGGTCGCGGAGATAACGGGCCTCACGTGCTCTGTCCTCCGGTTTGCTGCAATGAGTTTGGATCCGTTTGAAGAGCGTCTTCACGCAGCTTCGTTTGTGAGCCACCTGATGGTTGGTGTGAAAACAGAGAAGCTGTGTGGTGTTTGTTGCCTTCCTATAAACAGTCGTTTCAAGTTCACCGTTAAGGTTTCGTCTGACGAGCACATCAAGGAAGGGCAACTGCTGCTCCTGTTCTTCTTCCCTCGTGAATTTTATATCCGGGAAGACTGTGTTGAGTAAGCTGTGGAAATGTTACAGCATGTCCTTCTTTACGATGACGAACGTGTCGTCAACGTAACGTCGCCAAAACACCGGTTCATGTCGGAGGAAGACAATCTTTTCTACCTCCTGTAGGACCAGTTCTGCCACCAAACCGGAGACCAGTGAGCCCATTGGTGTTCCCTTGATTTGTTCAAAGGTCTCTCCCGCAAAAGTGAAGAAAGTTTGTTGGCAGAATTCAAACAGCCTGATTAGGTGTTCAATTTTGAGGGCATTCTGAGTCTCATCGTACGCCTCTTCAAGTCTCTTGCGCAAGACTTCGCGGGCCACGTTTGGTGGGATGGATGTGAACAACGACGTCACATCGAAGGAGACCATGATTTCGTCCGATTGAATTCTACGACCTCGGAGGTCTATGAGGAATTGAGAGGCTGATCGAACTGAGGTAGTCGAATGGCCTTGGAGGAACTTCAGTTTTGAGTACATCCACTTTGCCAAATTGTAGGTGGGGCTGCCTTTTATGACAACGATTGGCCGCAGTGGGACATTTGCTTTATGGATTTTTGGCAGACCATAGAATCGGGCTAAAGCCGTGTCAGTTGCCCTCATTTGGTGCCATTCATTCTCCGTGATCACATTTTTATGTTGGTATTCTCTAAGCAGTTTACTCAGCCGATCTGCCACTGCTTTGGCTTGTGACTTCTGTGCTGGTATGTAAAATTCTCTGTCATCAAGAATGGCTTTAGCTTTTTCATTATTGTCTTCTCTATTCATCACGACGGTTGATCGTCCGTTGTCAGCAGGTAGAATGATAATGCTGTCGTCCCTCCTCAGTTCCCTCATAGCCTTTGACTCACTCTGCAAAATGCATTTGGTTGGTCTGTGTGTCATCAGCAAGGAGGTAAAACGCTGTCGGACGGAGTGTTTCATGCCGCTTGTCCTGTTTCTGCCACTACCTCTGACGATGGACTCCTGTACGAGTCTGAAAGCTCAGGATAATAAACGAAGTGTTCCGGTGCTCGAATCTTCTTCTTCTTCAAATATGCATACACCTGGAACTCGAAATTTCGCCTTCACTCATGAAGAGTTTTAATTATTTGATCGACGATACCGGGGTCGTAGGGGTTACACAAGCAAAATCTTCTTGACTGTCGGGGGTGCGTTCAACGACGCGATGTGTTTCGGTGAGGCGGCACAGGCGATTGCGCCCCATTGTGTTGAAGCGACAGCTGAATAATGAATCACTAAGACTTCGGAGCAGCAGATATAGAATGGTGGTTGCTTGTTTAGAATGGGTTCGGCAGGCCAGTGAAAGGTGCACACAGACTCCCAGAAAGCGTCCAGATCGATAGTGTTGCACGTACGGCGGATGCTACCTTGAAGACGATGTGGATACCAAAGGACGAATTAACTGGCGGGAATACAAAAAAGCGGGAAGATGAGTTTCTGCTGCCTTGTGGCCATGTCCAACATTCAAAGCGGTCTTCGACAAAGTCGATCCGATATCCGTTGGACTAAAACGGTCGATACAAGCGGCCCGATTCCCCTGAAACAAACCGGTTTGTTACTCCGATCGTGGACAAGCCAGTGCTCTTTTTACGTGTTGCAATATCCCTAAGAATGGCTCACATCCTTTGCGGTCAAAATGGGGAACTATTCGAGAGCATTTCGTCTACGTACAGCCCCTGCGTGTTCGCTGGCCTCACGGGTCAAATCAACGAACAAATGCTGGCCATCCATCGGCTTGACGTTCTATCCGACGTCTTAGCGAACGCACTCGAAAGTGGCCATCGTGTCAATTGGGACGATAATTAAGTAGTTTCCAAGACCAAAACAAAGTAGGCGCGGATATTTCTGGCGGTCTCACATTAACACAGGCGGTATCAGCTGTCATATCGACTGCCAAGATCAGCTACGAAAGTTTGCTTGCACGGCTCACTGGCCCCCAACTTCCAGCCTAAATCAACGACCGTAAATACATACCCATCTGCTCGGAGCACCTCTGAGCCGCTATCCCCTTCAATCTCCGTGGGGACGAATCGCATTTGTACACGTTCATCCGTGTCACCTATGCTATCAATGGTCAAACCCCCTCACCGATTAATTCCGCGATATAGTATTGCGAGTAACATTAAATATTGACCAAAATAACTGTATGCATTCTCGGTAAGGATATGATATGCAACCCCACTGCAAAGACCACAATTAACTACAACCTCTTCCCGCCAACCGTAGTCGTGCCTGCAATGGGTAACCCTAACACCTAACCCGTAATCTTTTGGGGCAGACTCAAAATTACCCGAAACCCCAACTCAAATCTCAAATCCCTACTCCAAACCCTAAACCAAAAACCCCAACCCTAGATTCAACTCCCTAACTCAAGCTTGGCAACCATGACCCTAAGAACAACCCAAATCCTAACATTAGCCCTAACCAGAGCCGTGTCCATAACTGCAACCTTGAAGCAACTACGGCCAAATTTAACGTCAATGACGCTAATGAAGGTCAAAATACGCGTATCGCATCACCCCTTTTGCGACCTATTGCCGGGCAAACCGTTATGAGCTACATCTGTTTAAAGAAGATAAGAAGGTAGATTTTTGAACACCCACCCAGGAGGGTTGCATATCAAACTAATAACTATGTAACCTCTCAACCCTGAGTATTTTGGCAAAAACTGTCCATACCGAAAAGCCATTATTAGAGGATTCTGATCAAACTACGTCCATTTAAATCAGAATTGCCAAAACTTTCATCTCTATCCTCCACCCCATCAGAGTTTGAGTTTTCTCCAAATTGTAGACCCCATGTCATAGTTGGTTAATCCTTCTGACGCTACTAATTATTCAAAGGGATTTTCAAGAAACATTAAATTCCTCACAATGCGTACACATTACAATCTATACGTGGATTTCATGCAGTCATAAGCATTATTTGGGGGAAATTGTAGTGAAAGGTGAAAGTGCTGTAATCCTGAAAGACGGCACAAATCACTAAAATTTTATAATAGGCCACATTTGCACGAAGCGAAATATATATCATGTGGTCGGGAAAAATCTGGGTGATTAGCACTGTCTAATGTTTCCTGCGGCATTAGATTAAGTAAATGGTGGAGGGACGCTCACCGATCGTTCTTACGGAACTCACTCATTCCATTGTGCCTTCCGGGTTTTCTCGAGCCCAACCAACAGCCGCACAGCGGCGCATGATGCAGGCAGAAAGTTATTACTGACGAAACCAAGGGAGACCGGAATGGCCATTTCTGACTTATTAGTCGTCGTCAGCCAGTCATACCCAACCACGAAGTGTGGAGCGCCTGGGACTCGAACTTCGCGACCTGTTAGTTAGAAGTCCACGCCTCTAACCACTAAGCCAAGGGCCCGTTGCCCTGTCGGTTTCGATCGGGAATATACGATGGTAGGAGGGGCTCGCTTCGGGTTGGGTATGACTGGCTGACGACGGCTAACAAGCCAGAAATGGCCATTCCAGTCTCCCTTGTCTTTGTCGATAATGACACACTGCCTAAACAGAATCATCTTAATTGCCAGGGGTGCATCCAACATTAGCCTGAAGTAGATGACATATCACGTGATCATGAGAAATCCTGGCGCTAAACATTGTCTGATGTTTCTAGCAGCATGCTATATTAAGCAAAATTACATCAGTCTACTCACCTCCCACGACAGTGTACGAGGCACCCCAGCGCAGTTCCATATCAGCAACACGTTCTTCCTCCTTTAGGTTCGAATCGAGACGCAAGACAGACCACCTCTCTTGATTTTCTTCCTTTCCAAATATGAAGAATGTCTGAGGTGGCCTCACGCCACGACCATTTTGGTTAAAGGGACAAGTCCTCTTATCCCTGTCTGCAGCTCCGATCCACTGCTCAACTAGAGCCATAAGCCGACTTCCATAAAAAAAATAACTAGGTTGAACGGCATCTGCTTACCCGCATCCGGGGCCATCTGTAAACATTGGATGACGCTCCAATATGCTCTGGCGGAACTCGACAGTCGTCTGATGCCATTGGACCTCCTTCAGCATAGTCGGAGCATGCATCTTCAGCCTCGCATCATCGACCACTTTACTATCGCATACCCAACGTGAAATGGCTCCAAAAACTTGTTTCTCAGAATTTACTGGCAGATTATCGCTTCGAAGTAACGTGAGCACAGTGTCTGCCGGCAAGCGAACAAAAAGATCACTATAGATGAAACTCTCAAAACTCTTCCTCATTTGGTCGACGCAAGCCTCCAACAACAGTCTGACATTCAGAGACCTGGCAAAGTCCCAAGTGGTTGCCAGATTTTCGCTGTTGACACTATCGGAGAGGGGTTAGACAGGAACAACCGGGGAATACTTACGTGTTGGCCATAAATTGTGCTGCCCAATTCTCCAGCACTGAAAGCTTAAACAGTCTGGCTAAGTAAAAAATGCCCTTCACACTTGCTTGCGTCATCTCTACTTGACCAGTGTATGCATAATGCACAAGAGACGTTGCGAGGCTAGGAAATGCATAAGCAGTCGGGCCAAATCAAAGAACGGATAGAAAGCTTACCTTAGAGGTACTGATGGCCATTTCAGGACTGGAATGTCTTCCCCATGGGGGCCACTCAGAGATGCTCGCAAAGAGGGAATGCGAGCTGCAAGTATTATTCTGTGTGCGTGGAGCAGTGCACCATCTTTCACCTAACACGAACATGTCACTGTGATGAGGGGAGCTACCTCAATGGTGAGGTCTTTAATCTCCTCGGCAATACGAATTTCGTTGAGTGTAGGGCAACTGCGAACCAGCGGAAATTCGTCTTCGAATAATTTTGCCTGTGGGAACGCCATGTCAGATCGTAATCGGAGCAGGAGCGATGTAAGGCCGTGATCGTTGCTTTTTAATGCGTCACCACAGTTTACGATCGCATGTACGCACCGAAGACCTCCAGGTCCTGATTGGTAGATTACAGCGAGCGAATATTGTGCGAATTGGATCGAACACCAGTTTGCACAGTAACGGTGTCGAATGGTTAGGTAGGAATCTGTTACTTTTCGCCGTGATGCAAGGATTGAATGCTTTCATTGGTAAAGGAAGTGTGGCAGTTCTGTCAGACAAGGCCAAACTATCTGGAAAGCGATTGAGGCCTGTGTTGATTTTGAAATAGCCTGTCGTGTGCGCTTTCAACGACAAATCCATGGGCAGGAATAGAAGTATAGGCGATGGATTTGCGCTCGATGTTCGCTAATTGATTAAGTCTGTGAAAGCCGTATGAGGACTCAGATGAACGGCGAGGACAGACCTCGATTTACGGGCAGATGTGGATTTGGTCTTCTCAGCGTTGATGGAGAATCCAGTTGATTTAGGGGTCTAATGTATCCGCAATACAGCGTTCTGTGAGTCAACATATATTTATGCTATCGGGATGGTGTGCTTACTACAGTCCAGGACCGTCTTTGCACTGAGACCAATTCGCGAACTCAAAATAACAGATATCTTACAAAATCCCAGGCAACGATGCATGCAAACAGGATAGTGTGCACGTTTTAACCTTGTTCCACACCAGACCGAATGCCGAACAAGTGGGACAGCTCATTACGGACCAGAGCTCACGCAGTGCTAGCATGATAGCAAACTTTCTCACAGGTGATGGATTGTGGCAGCATTCTGTCTGCTTTTAGTATCCGTCACAGTGATCCACAACTAACGACAGAAAACGCCGCACCGAGGCAATACAGTAGACTGTTGTGGTTTACTGGTAGTCATGAATTCGTTGCACAGATCGTACCCCAACCTGGTTGTCTCTCTTCCTCCAGTCAGGGACACTGAAAAGGCTAAAAACGCGACGAGGAGCATTTCAGTAGAACTGGTCGCAGGCCTCACTGATCCTTCTCCGACAACTCTCCTTGATCAAAATCCCGAATCGGAACTGAACAGCAAGGGCACACTATCGACGAGGATTTGGACAGAAATGATCGGGAAATATGTGCGTGTTAGTCATGAATTGCGCCTTCGAGCACTGGAAACCTCAATATTCTTGCTGACGAAACAAATCCCATCGTATTTGCTTGCTTCATCTTTACTTGACCGGTGTATGCTTAATTCCTTAGAGAAGTTGTAAGGCTAGGAGATGTTTAAGCAGTAATAAAGATCAAAAAACATACGGTGGACCCGCAAAGAAGAAATGTAAGCCGTTTGTATTATTTCGTGAGCATGGATTCGAGCACCATCCTAAACCTAACACAAAAACGTCTGCGTGAAGAACAGTGACGTCATAGGAATCCGCTTCTATGATTAGGTGCTTAATCCCCCTGGCAACGTTAATTTCATAGATGTTTTGGTAGATTTTGAATAATTCATATTGACCCAACTGTGAAAAACTCGGCGCCTCGGTGGGATTCGAACCCATGCAGTAAGGGGAAGGCTTTAGTAAAGCCAACGCTCTAAGCACTTGAGCTACGAAGCCCCGCCGGACGACGCGAGTTTAATCACATTTGGGTCAATTTACCCGCCCAATATGAATTATTCAAAATCTGCCAAAACATCTATGAACTACGTGAGCCTGGTAGACATCTGGTGGATTCTAAGTGAATTACCTGGGAAATCCTGCTTGGGCAGTCAACCTACTGTATCAGATTTGGTGGATTTCAGACGTTGTAGTAGGTTAGGCGGGTGACTTGACCCAAATGTGATGAAACTCGCGTCGTCCGGCGGGGCTTCGTAGCTCAAGTGGTTAGAGCGTTGGCCGTACTAAAGCCTTCCCCTTAATGCGTGGGTTCGAATCCCACCGAGGCGCCGAGTTTTTCACAGTTGGGCCAATAGGAATGTAAATTTCGTTGAAGTTCGGTTTCGATCGAGTGGCACTGTCACCGTCTGCTCCCTCGATCGCTTCCGGTTTGTCATTCTCCCTGTTAATTCGTTGCTGGGACCTCATGAGGCTTGGTACTAGCCTTGCGAGAGCTCAAAGCCAACCAACGCTGATTGGCTGTGGACGGACAAAGGTCACAGAGAGCGAGGACGCACACATCGTGCTGGCGGGTAAGAACCTCATCGGCAGACAGGGGCACAGTAACATGCCGGAAGAGACAGGTTGCGGCAACTGCTTGCTGAGCCTCCGGTACGCTCTTTCACATCACTAAAGCTTGTCCAGTACAATCCATCTTCCTTGACTTATGATTTGGAAATCTCCGCGCTGTCGTCCACTGGAAACCCTCGCGTCTGCTCTCCAGCTCGATAGTTGGTGACTCCTTAAGAACGGCCATTTTCCTCTTTCCAGATCTGTGATACAGTCAGGCGCTGGTAGAAAACAACTTTCTGCCGAAATTGTCGCATATTATGGCACCTACATCCGACATTCTCTCGGCCGCACAACTTACTCAGATGCCCCAACAACTTATGGAGATGCACGGTTCTCCCAAGCAATCACTTCTCCTCCCCTCTACCACTTAGGTTTCTCCCGAGTATTCCCTCGGGTACCTGAAGTATGAGATTGCGAATTCTGCCCACGGCATGGCTTCTCTTCAAAAGCAGACAGTCTGCTTATGATCCCGGAGTTCGTCAAATTCATCTGCCCGACATGTCCAGTCTACATTTCGTCTTGTTTCAACACTGTCGCCATCTGCAGGTATCACATTACTTTTGTTGCCAAAGCGGGTTGCTGCATTTCTCCTGTTCCTTCACCTTCAATCGGAACAAACGGATAAAACAGGTCGGCCCGAATGTCAGTCTGGCCGATACCCGTAGCATTTCTGACCCAGGTCGACCTTTTACTTCTGAGACAACCAGAGTGGCAGATGATTCCTGTTTGATGCTGATGCTCAACCGAGTGTCACCCCTCTCACAGCAGCCTCTTTCCCCAGGTTGCTTACACCTAGCCAACTGCAACTTTCCGTACTCGCTCCTCCTCCTCCTGCTCCTCCTCCTCCTCCTCCTCCTCCTCCTCCTCCTCCGGCGTCTCTTGCCCTGGGTCCCTGTTGAAGCTGGTGTCTCCTGTGCCGTCTGCGGTTCAGACGACTACGTCGGTTTCTATCTTGGGCGGCTGCCTTTCGCCCTCTCCACACGAACACACCATCAAGCCCAACTTCCGGGGTATTTCTTCCTTCAAGACTTCCCGCAGGCTTGCATCTCAGCTCCTCGACAAGTATTCTGGCTTCACTCCTACCAAACTTAAACTTCTCTGCTCCAGCGCACGACATTGTTCATCACATCTGAAGCACTGACCCTCCTGTATTTCCTTGGCTCCGCTGTTTCGTGCCTGTACGTCTTGCTGCCGCAAAGGCCGAGTCCGAGCTTCTGCAGATGGGCATCATTCGTCAGTCGGAAAGCTCTTGAGCCTGGCCTCTGCATATGGTTACCAAGGCTGCCACTGGCGACTGACGTCATTGCGTTGACTGATGGGCCTTAAACAACATCATCCTCCCGGACCGCTACCCTGTTCCACATATTCAGGACTTTGCCGGTACCCTGCTCGACAAGTTCAGAGGTTTGTTCAAAGTGTGCTACATGGCCTACCCTCTGTCAACGTCCTTGTTGACGACCTGTTAGTAGCCAGCTCCTCCCTCAAATAACACATGGAGCATCTCGCAACGGTATTTGGCCACTTCCAGCAATTTGGCGTTATTTCCAACCCGCCACTGTGTGTTTGCGGCTTCCCCTCCTCGAATATGTCGAACACCTGGTTGACTGTAACGGCATCTACCCTCTTCATGTAGAGGTCGCGGTCATCAGAAAATTGTCGTCTCCCACTTCCAAGCGTCAGCTGTAGTGTTTTCTTGACATTGTTAATTTCTATCGTTGGTTCTTTCAGAAATGTACCAACACCATTCTGCCGCTCATTAATCTCCTCTCGGGCGCCGAAGATTCGTTCGAGTTGTCCCATCTGTCCTTGTTGCTTTTGACAAGATAGAGGCTGCCCTGAACGATGACACCCTCCTGACGCAGTCTGCACCCGACGCTCCTATTTCCCTCTCGGTTGGGGCCTCTAATATGGCAGTCGACGTGGTTCTCAGGCAGCACTTCACAGGTGAGTCCCAACTCCTAGCGTTCTCCTCCAGAAAGGTGTCACCTGTCGAGTTGCACTAAAGCACATTTGGACGGTAGCTTCTTGCCGTGAACCCCACCGCGAGACGCTTCCGACACTCCCCTGAGGTCAAGGACTTCAATATGTCCATGGGTCCCCAGCTTCTTTCCCTTGATCGTAAGCCGACTTCTGATAAACTCAACCCACTGGGAGATCCGCCAACCGGACTATATCTCCCAGTCCCCCTCAAATGTCCGCCACATCGACGGGTCATGGAATGAGGTTGCTAATGCACTGTCAAGGTTGTGAATCGCTCATCTACAGCATTCTGTCGGCATGGATCTCATTGAGATGGCTGCCGAAAAACACCCTGTTGGTTCGGCCCGTGACAAGGACGTTTACAGACCCCAACTCCAGGACCTACCTCCAATTGCTGGAGACGGTACCATCCTCTTGGACGTCTCCATCACCTCCTACCGTCTCTCTGTGCCGCCATTCCGTTTTCACGAGGTTTTCTCCACCCTGCACATCCTATCTCACCGTGGGAGTCGAGCAATCGATAAACTGGCTTTCGAGAGCTTCGTTGGACCTGGGATACGCTAAAACCTGAATGCAGAGGTAGAGGCGTGTCTTGGTTGTCAGCGGTGTAAGGTCCAGCTGTGGCGTGCGTACTTGTGCGTTGGCAGTTCAAGACTGCTTTGCTGCGGAGCCATCATCTGGCGGCGTGCCAGGACTAGTCTCGTCACCGCTGTCGCAGGTCTGTGGCTGCTTATTTTCAAACGGCCTTCATTAGTGATCGTTCCGCCACCCGCAAGTCGTAAGCGCATTGGGTAGCCAGCAGGTAGGCTAATAAGTAGAAGAACACATCGGCTCCGTCTCACTCAAACGAACTAAGTAACCATCACGAATTAATAGCAGGACAAATTAAAAGCGACTGAAAAGGGTCGTAGATGATGGGTTCACGTAGTTACATTAGCGGTTGCAGGTGCCGAACACACGATTATCCCTACTCATGGCGTGAGGAGAAAGCTGCTGTAGTCTGGTCCTGACTTCCGAGGCGCGCCGAGATGCTCCGTCAGTTAGAAACCTCCCTGATGAAGACTTTTCGCTTCTAAATTACTTGACGATGTGTCAAGTACAGTAGGTGGGCTAACTCATGAAATGTCAACCGATATTCCGAAATGCGTTTTCGTTTCGAAAAGATTAATTAAGTATGATTGTAAAACTAGTCAGTCTGCAACATAGTTCTATCATATTTCAATTACCTCAGGATGCCGGCTTTCGAAAGAACTTCTTTCCGGTTGCATGCAAAAACTACACTCTGTAAAAAATGACTATTTAAGTAACATGAATTTTTCTCATTGATTTTCGATTCCCCCTAAAGAGTCAATTATATTTCATGGAAAACATGCATAAAAATATTCATTCTTTTGTCTATTAGGTAGAAAATTACGTCTTCTTCTAATTTTATTCTCGAAGAAAGGGTAGAATTCGCTTTTAAAAAAAGTTTCTTATGTGAGATTTTTTAATATTTTGTTAGGGTCAGTTTGCCTGCGTCATCCCGATGCTAGAAAGTGCCTATGGACCCGCCACGATATTAACATCGTCGCAAAGATGTCCGTGCATCATGTATCTATCCAGCCAATCCTCCTATACTGTTGTGAACACTGGGCCAGGTGCGTAAACGACGATAGTAAACTAAAGGCGACTGAGTACCTTTAACTGAGAATCAGCCTTCGAGTGGAGTGCAGAGACTTCGTATCAAATGATGCAATACGCGCTCGTTGTGAAAACATCGAGAGGATATCTCAGGCTATCCATGAAGGACGACTGGTCTGGTTTTGACACGTCTTTCGTCTTTACCCGCCTCATGAGCTCCGTGTCACTGCTCTCGATAGGACCTCCTTGCCTACCTGGAGGCGTCGAGGCGGAGGCCGACAGAAATCGACCTGCCCTACCGAATCCCCCGCGAGGTCGACGACGACAATCACCACCAGCACCACCACTACTACTACTACTACCAGCACTAGCTAACGAACGCTGTCGCCCACCACTACCTCCAGCAACAGTATCATAGGTCTCGTGTTGACAGCAGCGACGGTGGCGCCACCGCTACCGCGAACGGCCTTTGCGCTAGCATTGCGAACTGGATCCCAGGCAGTCCTCGCTGTGAACGCATATTCACAATACGCATTCGCCTGATCAGACACCTGAGAATCCATTGCAATGCGACTGGTGAATAACTGCAAAGTGCCCTACGTTACATTTGTCACACCCGCCTCATTTACCCAATGGCATTCATCCATCGCACGAAGTTATTCGACCGTATGCACCTATTCGTGATTGTGGGATAAAACACTGCAATCCAGGGCTCGTTACCGCATCTTGTCCCGCCCCCTCCCAGACCAGAAATAAACTCAAATAACATCACTAACCACCTGTCCAAAACACGGCTCAAACAAATGGGGGCATGTTCCTGCTGTATACTGGTACATGACTTTGTTAACAGGTCGTGTTTGACACAAATAAGCGGACTATTGGTTTTGTGTTAGCTGCTGATCCTATCACTAGTTGATTGACAGGCTCAGACAGTCGACTGATGTGCAGGCGATAGAAGAGAGAGTGAGGACGACTCTGGGGAATCCATTCCCAAGGCATATCGGCGCATTCCTTACAGTAATGAATCAGACGTCTTTTAATCTATCACGACTTGTTAGAATTCGTAGTTTAGAAGATTGTCAACTGACGGGGTAATTTGGTTCTCGTGGCCACAACATTATTTGTTTACCCTAGAGACCCGATGTCTTGGTATGTCAAGAAGATTTACCCTCTCTTATTTGCAGATGATGAAATATGCAGTTAGCAGTGCTGGTGGACGTATGCTGTCCCAGACTGTAAGGCAGTGAGGGAGTGGTCAGCACGCGCAGGACAGTGCGACAGTGTGTTGCTACCGGAACGAGAAAGATGTGCCGGTTTCCACTAAGTACTAGTAACGGCACCAGAAGCGCCATGTTTTAAGTGTGGATGTGGTTGGGGTGATCTCACTCGTGGCTTGGATGGTTGCCGATTGACGGGGTAAGTCGTGCCGCGCGGCCAGTGTTGCGTATGTGTGGGGTAAGTGGGTCGAGGAGTGAGAAACAGGCTCAATGGCATTAACGCACTCTCGCACACATGAGATCCGAGCTGACCCCTTTGTGTGCAAACTTGGCACATTGTGTGGGAACCAGGTCATGGAGGCAAGCGGTTTAGATTTATTAGCCCTGGCACTCAAACCCTCAGATGGATGAGGATGTGTGCAAACCGCCCCCCCCCAAATGGGCCACGTGGTAAATGCGCTGAACCAACACGGAGGCCATATGGGATCCTGGTAGGAGTTATCGGAATGCGCACCCATTACGAGGACCAACATCTCGGGGTGCGGTTGCAGACCCAGTTGCCGGCGGACGACGCGTACATTGCGACCTCTGCAACCTTCCCTGTTGGTGCGGGTTTGACCGCGCAATCCACCTGAGACCTCCTCCGCCTCCGGTCGTCTTGACTCTGTCCTGACACCGGGTCCAGGTGAGGGAGGAGAGAGTGCGGTAGATGCTGCGCAAGTCACCATCCCTGCTTCATCTTGCTATAGAGCACACGGTGGACATCGTCGGCAACGACGGCCGAACTGGCATGTGTGCAAACCTACCACATTGTGCAGAAACCAGGTTGTGTGGGGCAGACGAAGGGATGCTGTTCAGCTTTGTTAGCCCCTGCGTCCAAACTCGCAGGTGGATGAGTGAGAAGGGAGTGCGGTAGATGCTGCAAAAGTTTGCTATTGTTACAAGCTAATTCATACGCAAGGCACCCTCCTTCGCCCAGCATGGTGCGGGGCACACTGGGGAGATCGTCTTTAGAGACGGTCGAACTATCATTCGGTCTCCGTTGCTGGTGGAGGGAATGGGCAGGGTTCTCCAGATCTACCGTCCCAAAACTCCACGTGCAAAAAGGTACAGTTCACGACATCATCCAGACCAGCTAGAACAGGTATAATTGCAGCTGTAAAAACTTACACATAATTGGCTTCTGCCCCACAATTCGATAATTATTCTATTACAATGATGGGCTCAGAAATCTGCAATATTCTGGTTTCTGCTTTGATGGGTGCTATCAACCCAAGATGCCTCAGGACATCAGGTCCTAGAACCGAGAAGGTGATGCTGAACTTCTTCAAGTTGCATTGTCAAGCTCGCTGCACAGTATAATTTAAAACAGCAAACCGTGGGAAAATGCAATGAGATTGGAAAGACAAACCAAGAATTGGTAACCCTCTGCTCGATTGCCTTAACAATTCTTCTGAAAAACACCAGAAACATCGCGAGAATTAGATGTACTCGGTGGCCTACGTCTCAGTTATGCTCATTAAATGTGCGTAACAGTAAATTAACCTACGATTTCAAGTGGTAAGTCAACACAAGTCAAGAGCTAGTGAGCTTGGTGAATTAAACTTACCCAAAATGTTCCCGGGCTGCTTACAGGCGGTAGGTCACAGGATCGAAATCAAAAAGCCCACCACCGCTTTCTCTCAACGAAACCCGAAAAGTAAATTACTCGGACATGGTTACTCATTAAATCATCGGCCAAACGACGAACACCTGTCGTAAATGTGAAAATTAACAGTATTAAAATGTGTGTGTTGGCCTAGTAACTACGGTCTATGCATACTGTAGACATAATCTGTCTAAAAAATCCGTTTGTTGGGGGGGGGGGGTCGGAGCATGAATCCGAAGCGTTGGACGAGGGGTGAAGGCCCTGGCTTGCGCCAACGCAGTTTTCTCTTCAGGAATCCATCGACACTTTTTGAAACGGACCTGGTTCGTAGACTCTTCACCAACTACGGAAATGTCCTCGTCTGTAGCGGTCTTGGCGTGAAATATCCGGTAGAGATGACATAGTAAAAAAATATTTTCAGAAAATTGTGAAATGCGCCATTGTATGCGATTGTTGAACTGCCGCGTCGTGTGTATGTGTCGACATTTATAAATTTCTTTCGAGAGCAGCCGATAGGATTGTCTAAATGAACACTGTTTGCATCCACTGTTGGCAGACGTTGCGTTTTTATCAACAGCCGGCAATTTGGTAGCACTGAGGCCTTTTTGACGCCTACTCGGCGATCTGTCTAGTATAAATGAACAAGCGGAATAATGGAAATGACTTTGTTCTATCCTGACCGAGGCAAATTAAACTCTATTCCGACGTATGACTTATTAAATGAGCATTTAAACACCGCGAACGACAGTGTCTACCGTGGGACTCGCGCAGTCGTGGGCAAAAGACGGTGGCTTGCTCGCGGATTGATCTATAACGTTAGCAGGCTTGCGTACCATACACCGCAATCTCGCCTCCTCTCCCACCTGGGTCGGTGTCAAGACAAAGTCGAGAAGACCGGAAGTGGGATCGGTCGTTCATGGCTGGTAGGGCGTGGATCCGTGCCTAGGCGTGGCACAAATATCCTGGTTCGCGCGCAAAGAAACAGCAGTTAACACAACAAGAAAGGGAGGCGGCTCACCGCCACTGAGTGGGAGGGTTATAGGCGCCACATTAAGACAGCTCGCCTTTGCTGTGATATTATTGCAAGAATAAACCTAGCCATCCAAAAAAGACGGCTGAGGTGGTTTGGGCATGTTCTCCGTCATCTAACTCAGGAGCCCAGCGCGACTGCCCTCGATCCGGCACTGTTAGCCCACTGGAGGCGTCGAAGAGTGGGGTCAACTCAAAACCTGGCTCGACACAGTCCGCCAAGACATGGAGGTAACTTTCGGACCCTCGGTATTCAGTCTCCGCCGCTGACGAAGAGGTTGGGTTGAAAGGTCTAGATCTTCTGCTGCGGATCGTCACGTGTGTAGGGGTACTGTTCGGGATATCACTGAAACCGACTAGATCGGGCATGATCGCAGCCGTACCAAGTACATTAAGAAGGAGCCATTGTAGTCTGACTCTCCGTCCTCGTTGGAGGACCAAGTTTTCCTGCCAGCTGACAGTCTTCCAGGCCACCACTTTTAGAGCACCGTGTTAGTTTAAAAACACGTCCGATTGTTTTTTTGACGAGGAAGGCGCTGAAGTTCCGAGGAAATAGATTCCCAGAGTCTTTCTCACCCTGACTTCCCTCTCCCAGGCACCAGCTGTTTGGCCGACTCGATAAGTCATCTAATGCGGGGATTGAGCATACGTAACTGGAGGTACTAAAGAGCGCGTCTACGCCTGTCATACGCGATCTGGCCTCCGCAGACACACCAGGGTTTTATAAAATGTGGGTGGCCTGCTCGGATCTCCCATTCTTATGGTGCCGTGGAGGCCACATGGAGAAGGAGCCGAAGAACACGTTCCCCATTTACGTGAGAATCCCTGTTTCGTGTCTATGGTTAATGATGGAAGGTGGGTTGGTAAGGATCGGGAGAAGGATCCCAAGCAATTTGTGGCATACAAGGAATACCTAAAGTACTTTTTAAGTGGGTTTTAGTCCGACACGATTATTCCGGTTTGGTGCTTCATCGTCCAAGGAAGGGTCGTCTGTTGTAGACGGTCTGATGCATTACCTACAATGACCTCACCTCAGTGAGTTGAGAAGCGATCGTTGTGGACACTTAACGCTTATTTTTTAATTATCCTGTTTAATTTCGGTTGCTATATGTCAATGCAATAAAACCTTCCCACCCGAAAACGTATCCACCAGTTATCTATACTTGTTCTGCCATTAATCTATGCATACATATGTCCCACCCGTAAAACCCCTATTACCACCGTTCCCGTAAGACAGGCACTTTTGGCTGGTCATGTGTGTTTGGGGTCCCTCGCCCGATCGTTGCCAGGTTAGTTTTCTTGTAGCTTATCTGATTTGGGAAGATGCCTGTTTCCCCAAAACCGGCTACGTGGTAGATACGGTGACCCGACAATATAAACAAGATCTGAGTACGTCAGGCGTTATTGGGAACGCGCGCAAATGCCCACATTTTGGGTGTTGGGGCATGAACACTTGAAGGCTCACGCCGCACCAAAT